GAGCTATATCCCCAGCCCTAAGTATTATTTTTAAGAGTAACATTATACCAGTCTTTTAGTTTTAAATCAGGATTGCATTTATGTTTGCATTTTTGAAAAATCTCACAATAATTCTGCCTTTATGCATTAAATACTGGCCTAACAACAATATAAGCACATAGGGTTTATAAATGAGAGAAACCTTGCTACTGGCAGATTAAGTCATTTCTGAAGCTGCTGGTACAGTCTACAGGGTGCTCATGATGACAGGCCGTGGTTGGCACTGCTAAGAGCTGGCACTTCTGAGAGGCAGAACAATGTAGAAATTTCATCCTTGTCATAGACATAGACATTTTAAAAACTAACAGGATATGTGTGTGTACAATTTCACATAAAGTCTCAGGTTTAGAGCAGGTCTATTTTTACATAGAATGTATGTAAACTATGTAAATATTAAATCTAAGAAAGGCCTTGGAAAATCATTAAGAACCAATACAAATGTTCTGTATACTAAATTTATAATTACAAAATAGTTTATTTAAATATTGCAGAACATGGTGATAAGAATCTGCTAAAAGTCCTCAACAAACTATTACTATAATAACATTATTCAACACAGGTGAATCTGGCTGGGAATTTTTTTTTTCAGGGTAGGGTACTGGGAATTGAACCTGAGCCAATCCTCAGCCATATATATATCTGGATATATATATATGCATATACATACACACATACATATTCATATATATGTATATGGCAATAATGCAAATAACGCATATATATTTGGTAATAATGCAAATATTATCCATATATATATATATTTTTTTTTTTTAATTGAAAGACAGGATCTTGCTGAGTTGCTTAGTGCCTTGCTAAATTTCTGAAGCTGGCTTTGAATTCCCAGTCCTCCTGCCTTAGCCTCCCAAACTGCTGGGATTCCAGGTAAGCACCACCATGCCCAGCTGGGAACTCTTTCTTTGGAGGTAGATTTTTCTCTTATCTTTCCTCAAATCATGATAAGTTCACAGAAGGCCCAGTTCCTAAGTTCTTAGAAGTCAAAATTCTATAGCTCACAATGACACCAAAGTTAAGTATTTGTTGGATTAGTTTATAGCCATAATAATAATAATAAAGATCTCTTTTTAAAATGGTTGTGGGAGAGCCTTCACTGCTCATGAATAATTTATCTTCCACTGAGACTCTATGGGACTGTTCACATTAGCCCACAGGTGCCTGAAGTAGAGTGGCAGAATCATTTGTGGGATTTGATTGTTTGTTTTGGTGTTTGGATTTTGGGTACCAGGGATGGAACTCATGGGCATTCAACCACTAAGCCACATTCCCAGCCCTACTGACACTGCCAGTTATTGGTGACGAGTTCTGCTTCCAGCAAGTTGAAGTTTGAACATTAGAGAAGCACAATGAAGCAAGCATATAAAGCAGGATTTTTTTTTTAAAAATGGGGTAACACAGACTTCTTCCAGGAGAGAGAAGGGGGCCATAGCTGGTATCCCCAGAAGCGAGGCGTTCTACCCTTTTTAGATGTCCTATACTTCCTTTGTTCTCCTACCTTTTCCCCCTTATCTTTCTCCTTCCTGAATAAATGACTAGGCCCAGGAATGCTTGGTAGGATGGCCCAAGGGTGGGAAACAGGTGGGCTGAAGGGGGTAAGGGCAGGATGGTGCAAACCCAGCACACTTTAACCACCTTAGAGCTCCAAGTAGGGAGGGGCAATTCCTGGGACAGGTTACCTTGGCAACAAATTGGAGCAGGGGCAGTTTCTTGATAAGGGTGGAGGAAGGGCTCTGAAGGAATTAACATTTCAATCCCTCAGGGGGCAGTCTCCAACTTCCCAGACACACTCAAAATTGGCCTCCTTAATCCAACCTAACTCGATTTACCTATCTATACTGACTGCCTGTCTAATTCTGGCTTCCCTGCTTTGTATTTTATTTAGAGACAGGGTCTCACTGAGTTGCTTAGTGCCTCGTTTTTTGCTGAGTCTGGCTTTGAACTCATAATCCTCCTGCCTCAGCCTCCTGAAACACTGGGATTACAGGCTTGAGACACCGCACCCAACTGCATTTGGTTTTTTTTTTTTAATTTTAATTTTTATTTACGGCTGACATATGTGACAATAGTGGAATGCATTACATTTATAATTATCCATTCACGGCACAATTTTTCAGAACTCTGTATATAAAGCATTTGGTTTTGTTCACGAAAGTCCATGCTTCGTGCCAGGCACAGTGGTGCACTCCTGTAATCCCAGCAGCTCGTAGGCTGAAGTGGGAGGATCACAAGTACCAGCCTCAGCAAAAGCAAGGCCCTAAGCAACTCAGTGAGACCCTGTCATTAAAAAAATACAAAATAGGGCTGGAGATGTGGCTTAGTGGCTGGGTGCCCCTGAGTCCCTGAGTTCAAAAAAAAGAAAGTCCATGCTTCTTTATCCTTGACAAATGAGGAGCTGACATTCTGTTCAGCTGTGCCTGTGTTTCTCCTGCTCATTCTTCCAAAAATACTTTTGCCACTAGTTTTTAAAGGTGGAAAAGTAGGGTGTCATCCTGTTGCTCAACATTGATGACTCTGTAGTTTATACTCTGTACAACAATTTTTCATTATATATTTCAATGGCTTCACACCAATTATTCTCCTTGAGCTTCTGTTCCCTTTGTAGTTTTTTGTGTCTGTAGAAACTTTTCTTTCTGGAGAAACACTAGTTTTTAGCACCACTCTTACAGGGTTTTTTGTTGTTGTTTGTTTGTTTTTAGCAGATAAACTTCAAGGACCTCTTAGGTATGGATGAAACATAGGTATTGATGTAACATTTAGATAAAATCTTTGCTTATAGAACTCAAGATGAATTAAATAAATAAATAAATATTTTTTCATAGATTTCCACTCCCAATTAACATTTTATATTCTTATTAACATTTTACACATTGTTTCTGTTCAACCAATTTGAGAATTTCATGAAAAAGTTGAGTGGTTGGCTGAGTAATAGGGTAACACAATGGGAGCTTCTTTTCCAAGGCTGGCATATGAATAAAGTACCTGAAAATCACAAAGAGAAACAAAAGAGAGATCTTTAAGAACACGAATTTCATATTGGTCACATTCACACTAAGTGGTGCAGGGTTGTGGGTGTGTGAGTCTGAGCCACAAGATTCAGTCAACATTTAAAGCCTCCCAACCTCTCCCATTTGTGACCTAGAAAATCTCTTGATATGTGTGCCTTTCAGCTCACTGAAGCACTTTACTTTAGCAAAGGAAGTAAATTTCATTAATAATGTATCAGTTATCAAGGCATTAATAAAGAAGCCAAAGGATGAGTTGAGGTTCCTGCTTCTTGGTTTCTCAGGCAATGCGCAATGGGGAGTTGAAATGGAAGTGCCAAGCTGTGGAGACTGCTAGGGCAAAGTCAAGAGGAAAGGGAGGGTTTATTCCACAAGCTCAGTATAGGAAAGCTGTGAAAGACAAAAGTGAGAAAGCCTCCCCTTGGATGGCTTACTAAATGGTTTTCAACTCCAAGTGTACATTAGAATCACCTGGAGAGCTTTATAAACTATCAGTGCCCAGGCCCCCAGCTCAGAAAACTCAAACAGACTTTCGAGGTGGGAGACCAGACCTGGGTAACAGTATTGTCAATGGTTATTAAGGAGATTCTAATACAAAGCAAGTTGAAAAATCCTAGGTTAAAACAAGGATCACAAACCTAAATTTAGTAATAGCAATGGTTGCAAAACATTGTGCAATATATTAAAAAGACAGTGGACTATACAGTTTTAAATGGTGAATTTTATGCTACATGAATTTTCCTTAATAAAAAGGAAAAAGATGTGAGGAGACAGGAGTAGGGGGTGGGAACTGGGTTGTTGGAGAAACCCAGAATCAAATGAATCCTCTTTATGGGAGCCATAATGAACCCTATGGTGTATGAGGAAAAACAGACCTTACAAACGGGGACAAATTTTTGTGAAGTCAATCTAAGGCCATAATAGATGTCTTCACAGCCTTCTATAGCTCCATCCAAACTAGTAACAAAGCTATGCCAGCTGCACTCTTTCATCTTAAGGCAGACACAACCTGGGTTTTTTCCTTAATAGGTGCTAATGCAGGCTGTGGCTTTGCCAGCCTATAAATAGAAGTGGAACCCCTGATGTGCAAGAGAACAAGCTGGCTGATGAAACCAATGCTGGCTACTGCTCTTTCTGACTGTTCCCTTTCCGAGTAAGAGAAGGGAAGGATAAATGAGACAAAAAAAAAAAAAAACTCGTTAACACCGTTCATTAATTGTTCCTCCATTATCTATTGATTTTTTTAATGACTCAATTGAATTCACAGTCTATAATTTACCATTCCCTTCCTTAGGGTTTGTTACTCTTAATTACTCACAGCAGGTTACAATCATTACTACTTATGTGACAGGCCAGCTTCAAGAAAGACAAAGAGTGAGAAACAATCCTCCAAAGAGAGTTTGAGGTTTCACTAGTATTTTCTGACCTGGAATATATTTTGAATGGCAAAATTCTTTGAATTCTCCCCCAAATGCTTTCTTTCCTCTGATCAAAGTGAAATATTATTAAAGACAAAAATATATATATTTTTGTCATCACATAACCTAAACATTGGGCCATGTTGCAGGTTTGTAAGAAAATCAGAAAAGAGTGGTCATCTTGCAGATTAGATGCAGATTTTTTTTCCCCTTACCTAAATTCTTCGCTGTAGTCATTCCTGATATACTCAGCTAGAGTCTTGCTGTATTGCAGGCAGCTCTTGAGGATGTAAAACTGCTGGTACAAAAGAACTGCTTGGAAGGGACTTAGCAGTTGCAGTGAAGCTGAAAGCCCCTTCACTACTTGTTTCACAATACTGGCCACAAAGGTAACCTAGACAAGGAAAATACAGTTACATATAGACTACACTCAACCCACAAGAGTTCCTATTTTGGCTGGAGTGTCATTTACAAGTCTAGGTTGAAGCCCTCACCACACTTGCACCAACACCTCTGCACTATTTCTCATTGAAATGGTACTCAGCACCAAGTCATACTGACTGGGGATTAAGTTTTGAAGTTCTTCAGCACTTTGTTTTAACCAAATAAGATAATCAGAGCTGACTGTGATGGAGGTGGTACATTGGATAATCCTGGGTCTCTTTGCTTGCAGATTTCTCTCAAATGGACTGTTTCTACCCATGCATTTAGAATTGGGTTAATGTTGATGCTTTCTATGGTGTTAGTGATCCCTTTGGCTTTTGCCACCCTTCATTTTGACATGCTTTATGATTATAACGTGGCATTGTACTTATTTCAGTTCCTTTGGGGAACCAACTCTAGAGGCTGACAAAGGAGCTTCCCTATTGTCTGGATTCTTGCAGACCCCATATTTTTACCCCTCAATTTAGATGACAGGGCCTACAACCACTGCACAAATAGGGGTCTTGCCTCTGGTACATTTGGCCTTCTGTTGTTAACAGTAAAAATTATGGCACACCTAAGTGGTTGGGGTCTGTGCACTGCTGAAGTAGCCAAGATCAGGGGCTCGGTCTTTGTATAAGGCAGTTTGTTGCTCAGCTTACAAGTGTTTGGCCCCAGCCAGCTTTTTATAAACATATGTCATAGGAATCTGACAAGAGAATCGAGATTCCATGGGGCAGATTCAACATTGCTCTGGAAAAAACAGCTCAAAGCAGGGAAACACTGTTGGTCCCCAGAGGCGTGTTCATATATGGGAAGATAACAATTACCTTGTGTTAAGTCCTCTATTAGCAATGAAAATTAAGTTAGGAATACTTGCTTTTGACGAGATTTCCAATTAAATGAATTATGTATGAATGAATAAAGGGAAACTAAACTTGGAGAGTGAGAATAGATTAAGGGATAGAGTCTTTATTAGAATCAATGAAGTAGATATTTTATTCAACATTTATTATGTGCCTAACACAACAGATATAGCTCCCACCCTTGTGACACTTGAAATCTATGGAGAGAAAAAAAAAACATTGTATCAGTAATGACGAAGTAGGTAATGTTATGGTAACAAACCTCTAAAACTACCAATGCTTTCCATAAAACAGCAAAAGTTTATTACTTTACACTGTATGTCCCTCCTGTATTATTGGGGGCCCTGTTCATCAGGGTCATCAGCTGGTGGAGCAATCGACATGTGTAACATTGCCAGTCACCATGCCAGAAGGAAAAAGAATGTCCTGGCTCTTACAGCTTCTGCCCAGAAGTGACAGGCTACTTGGGCTCACATTTCATTTGCCAAAGTAACAGAGACCCATCTAATTTCAAGTGCAGAGGGAAGTAGAATTGTACCATGTGCCTAGGAGAGAGAGCTAGAATGTGCACCAATGGCTATTACAGGGCAGAATCATATAACAGCACAAATATTATCTGTAGCAGTAACAATTCCAATGAAGAAGACCCTGCTGTGCACTGTGTGTGCCTGTGTAGGGAAAGCCTAACCTAGTCAGAGGGTCAGAAAATCATCCTCTGCTTCCCTACAGGAAAGAGCAGTGAGGCTTGAAAGATGAGAAGTGGTCAACTAGGTGGGAAAGAGGGATAAGCACTTCGGACAGCAAGACTGCTGTGGCTTCAATTTGTGCCCGTGTTCATGTGTTACAAAACTCAATCCCTAATACAACAGTGTGGTGAGGTGGATAAATGTTGTTATTGGACAGGGATGCCCACTGGAGTGGGGTTGATATTGCAAGAGTGAGTGTGATACAAAAGTGAGTTCCCTCCTCTACTCCACTTCACCTTCACCCGTGGGACAATGTAGCAAGAAGGCCCTCACAAGATGCAGCCCCTCCATTTTGACCTTCCCAGTCTGCAGAATCATGAGTGAAATAAATATCTGTTCTTTATAAATTACCCAGTCTGTGTTAGTTTGTTATAGCCACACATAATAAACTAAGACAGAGATGGAGGCAAATGATAGGTCCTGTGATGGAGTCAGTGGGGGAGCAGGGTGTGAATAAGAACCCGGCATAGCTGGGTGAGTAAGGGACCAGATGAGGCTGTAGAGCCAGAGCTCACAAGGCCTTGCAGGCCATTTCAAGGAGTCTAGCCTTTATTCAGAGAAGAACTGCCCAGAGATTTAAAGTAAGGAATGACAATCAGATTTTTATTTCAAATAGCTCCCTCTGGCTATAATCTGGTGGGAAGACAAAGTTAAACCATTTATTTGGGAATGTAGTGTCAAGAAAGAAGATTGGTGACATTATACATACTATGCCACCAATATGTATATTGGTATAATGTCACCAATAATGTATAATGTCACCAATCTTGGGCCAGAATAGTGACTGCCAGCACAGAGTACACAGGTGATTCCCATTGTTATGTTCATACTTGATGTTAAAAGTGAAGATTAATCATTTTTACTTAATTATACAGCCAATAATTTAATATCTTATATTTTTATCTTAAGAGTTCTTCGTAAAGTAAGGACCATATCTAAAACATCATTTCAGTGCCTTAATAAATCAGATCTGAAATGTAGAGACATTTTATTTTAATTAAATAATAAAATTATCAAATTTACATATTACTTCAGTTTTGTAAGCTAGATCATGTCATAGAGAAAATTTGTGTTTAATTAATAAAAAAAAAATAGTTTCTGTTTAGCTAGGCCTGAACAGTGACTACTTCTAGGTACTTACTATAGGAGGACAACTTTGAAGAAAGGACATCATCCAGCTAATAGCAAACTTTGTAGATCCCAATCCAAGGTTTCCCTAAAAACTCAAGGAAATAAGTTATGAAATTCAGGTTGTATATAAAAAGATACTCATCCTCAAATACATTTTTAACCTGATTAATAAAAATCTTTAAAATTGGTATTTGTTAAACATAGTTGATGAGCACTTAAGAGCAAAGGTAGTATCATGTAAATCAACCAGTTTTGGAAATTATCTCTAAAATAAGCATTTTGGACATATTATTAATCATAATATGTATAATCACAGAAGATATATAAAATGTGTACCTGCTGAAAGACAAGAAGTATCTCATATAAAAGTGCTGTTGCTGTATCTGTGTATTCCAGGATAAGATTCTGCAACTAGAATTTTCAAAAATAATCAATATATTATTATAGGCTCAGCCAGAAAATAGAAGTTCCTCTTGGTTTCCTTTAGATACTTCTAAAACAATTTTTATTAACTAAAAATTTAATTAGTGCAATCCATTTTCCTGTTCCATTTGGTTCTGTCATTCTCAAGAAAGTGGCTCTAATTAAGAGATGATAGGTTTAAAACGGCTCAAAGAGCAGGTCAGGGAAAAAAGATACATTTGTCCACAGAACATAACACACACAAAAAAATTGTGCACCAGTTTACCAAATCAGTCAGATCAATAACCTTATTTCCTTTCAAGAATGTAGAAATATGCTCCTAGAATTGAGGTGGCAGATTCTCTGAGGAATTTAGGTTTACCCCCAACTCAAATTATGATCCCTTCTGTAGTATGAGTAAATGCACATAAGACATTTTGTTGCTCTCCAAAACTCCAGGAATTGGGAAGATTGTCTTCTGGCCTGTAGGCCACTTGAGGCATAAGAAATGTCTGTGGGCTTGCTACAGGCCAATACATTCTTTCTAAACATATTATTCTCATGGGAGAGATCTAGATTGAAATCTCCCTCTCTCTTATACCTTTGGAACAAAACTTTATATAGTTTCCTGTTGGACACATTAATACCCGAGGTGCAACAGATCAAAAAGTCTGAAAACTAGATCTATCTATTCTGCCCAATTGGCATTTTCATATAGAAATACCATTGGCTAATCAAATTAAACCCAAAACCAAGCTTAGTATTTCCCTGTGAGTCTAATTTTCTTGCTGTAATTCCTATCTGACTCTCAAGTCAGAGTCTAAAAGTCATCTTCTAATCTTTACACTTTATTTTCACATCAACCTACCTACAAAATTTCTTAAAAATTTCTGGAATCGATCCTCTTTACAATTACCATCTTTCTTCTTCTTTTCTTCATTTATTTTTTCATCAAATATGCTTCAGACATTGTGGTAGGTGTTGGGGATACAATGAAGAACAACAAACATGGTCCCTACCCTCATGGAATACACAACCTAATTTATAAACCGAAAGCAATCTAACAAATGCATAGTTACAAACTGAGTCCAGGGCTATGAAAGAAAAGTACAGGAAGCGGGAGAGCTCTGAAGAGGAAGGCTAGTCTCCTTTGGGGGTCAGGAAAGACTTCTTTCCAACCTTTGTCATCCCACCCTCACCTCAACTAGTGCACTAGCATCTTAAGCACCCTGCCTAGGAGTCTTGCTTCTGACCCACTTTTTATACTCCATCATTGAAAGTGTATTTCAGACACTCTATAGACAGTTTGTAATTATATATTCCTAGGAATATTTGAGCAACATCCATCCCTCACACCAGTTTGTAAACTAGTGAAAGTAGAGATTGTGTTTTGCTTACTGTTTAGACCCCCTGCCTAGCATGCTATTTGCTCTTAATAGATGCTTATAAATACATACTGAGTGAATGGGTAAATGAGTTTTCTAAAACATAATTTCAATTATATGTTTATGAACTATCAAATCATGTCCATACTTTAAAAAACATTTTCTATGTTGATTTGGCTCAAAATAAATTAATAATAAGCTGATTTATTCTCTCAAAAAATATGGTTTGCAGTCAATTTGATATTTCCAATGTTTTATTACAACCTTAGGAAAACAAGTAATTCTCTTCTACTTATATAGGTAGAGAAATGGTAAATGCTCTAGAGTTAACCCTAAAATTTCTAAGACATTGCTTTTTTTGTCCATTAGACCCCTACTATGGAATTCATGTATATTATATATAGAGATACATAACATATAACTTTTTAACAATGCCTATTATTTTACTTAGTATATATACCTTAAAACAAATAAAATGAACACATTAATATTAACAATAGTTATCTAGGTTTTTACATTAATAACAAAATATCTATTCTTTGGTTTAAGTATATGTCTATATTTCTATAGTGTCGTGGTCCATGTAAAAAGACAAGAAGCTACATTCCCTATATAATTAGTATGCCCCCAAATTTTCATCTCACCTTAGCATCAAAAGACATTTCAGTTAAAGTTGAATCAGCCATCAATTGGACATCAAATACAGGACAAGATTTTGGAATCTGAGGCTTGCTAATTAAAATCTTCAAGAGATTAAATAGTGTTCCCCTAAAAAAAAAAAAAAAACCACACACAAAGAGCAGTTAATGAATAGCTTTTTAAATTTTTTAAATTTTTTAAATTTTTTAGTTATAGATGAACACAATATCTTTATCTTTTTTTACCTATTTTTATGTGGTACTGAGGATTGAACCCAGTGCCTCACATGTGTGAGGCAAGCGCTCTGCCACTGAGTCACAACCTCAGCCCTAATGAATAGTTTTGAAAAGAAAAACAGTGAAGCCAAGTTTGCAGACACATCTTGATTAAACTTTTGGACCCCTGGGCATGCAGATGTGTAAAAGTAAGAAATATTTATTTATTTGAAATAAGAAATTTAGATAAAAATGCAATTTCTTGGGTTTTTTGTTTGTTTATCTCAGAGCAAGTCTACTTCTAAAAGTTCAAATAGCTTGGAGAGTTTAGCAACTCTAGATTTAAAGGAGATGCTGGTGATTTCAAATATAGTAATATTTTCCAAAGGATTTTTTTTCTTTTCTTTTCTTTTTTTTTTTTTTTTTTTTTTTGTACCAGGGATCAAGCTCGAGGGCATTCGGCCACCATGCTGCATCCCCAGCACTATTTTGTATTTTATTTAGAGACAGAGTCTCACTGAGTTGCTTAGCTAGCTTTGAACTTATGCTCCTCCTGTCTCAGCCTCCAAAGCTTCTGGGATTATAGGCGTGCACCACCACGCCCAGCTCCAAAAGATTTTTTTAGGAATTAATAATTTCAGGCAATATTTTGATCAAAATAGATTCTGTGGTCAAAAGAAACATAGGAAATACTTGGTTACACTAAGTTTACTGAATATCTTTTACTACAGGACTTCTCATTAGCTTTACTATGGTAATATGTACTGCATATCTCTAGGACAAAGATAGTATATATCATTACTTTTTTTAGTTGTTTTTTAAATTAACAAATAAAAATTATATATGTTTATGGTGTACAAAATGATGTTTTGAAATATGTATACACTGGAGTGGTCGAATAAAGTTGTATGCTTTACCTCTCATACTTAACATTTTTTGTAATGAGAACACTTAAAATCAACTCCTAGCAATTTCCAGATATATAATAAGTTGTTATTAGCTGTAGTCCCCATGTCATACAATAGATCACTTGAACTTATTCCTCTTGTCTAACTGAAATGTTGTACCCTTCGACCACATCCACCAATTCTACTACCCCCACATCCTGGTAACTGCCATTCTACTCTGTTTCTTTGAGTTCAACATTTTTAGATTTTGCAAATAATGAATATCATATGGAACTTGTCTTTCTGTGCCTGGATTACTTCACTTAGTATAGTTTCCTCCAGCTCCAGCTCCATCTATGTTGTCATAAATAACAGGACTTTTTTCTTAATTTTAAGGTTGAATAGCATTCTATTGTGAATGTATGCCACATTTTCTTTTTTCTTGCATCCATTCATGGACACTTAGGTTGATTCCATATCTTGGCTATTGTGAATAATGTGCAGAATTCTTTTTTAAATTTTTTTTATTTTTCAGTTTTTGGTGGACACACCGTTATTTTTTATTTTTATGTGGTTCTGAGGATTGAACCCAATGCACGGCTCATGCCAGGCAAGCGTGTTATTGCTTGAGCCACATCCCCAGCCCCAAGCCACATCCCCAGCCCCCAGAATTCTTAAAATGCTTGTTTGATCCCAAGTTTTATGACTCCAGAACCCCCCACCTTTTTTAAAAACACATAACAACAGTGGAATGCATTACAATCCTTATTACACATATAAAGCACAATTTTTTGTATCTCTCTCTATATAAAGTATGTTCATGCCAATTTATGCCATTATACATGTACTCTTTTTTTTTTCTTTTGCATTACAATTCTTAATACACATATATACCACAATTTTTCATATCTCTGTTTAATATAAGGTATGTTGGCACCAAATTCAAATCTTCATACATGTATTTTGTATAATGATGACCATCACATTTCACATCCTTGCTAATCCCCTTCCCCCTCCTTTTCCCTCCTATCCCCTCTTCCCTATCTAGAATTAATCTAATCCTTCCATGCTCTCCCCCTCCCTACTCCACTATGAGTCACCCCCCTTATATCAGAGAAAACACTCGGCATTTGTTTTTTTGGGATTGGCTAACTTCACTTAGCATTATCTTCTCCAATGCCATCCATTTATCTGCAAATGCCATGATTCTTTTTTTAGTGCTGAGTAATATTCCATTGTGTATAAATGCCACATTTTTTTTTTTACCTATTCATCCACTGAAGGACATCTAAGTTGGCTCTACAGTTTAGCTATTGTGAATTGTGCTGCCATAAACATTGATATGGCTGTGTCCCTGTAGTATGCTGTTTTTAAGTCCTTTGGGTATAGTCCAAGAAGAGGAATAGGTGGGTCAAATGGTAATTCCATTCACAGATTTCCAAGGAATCTCCATACTGCTTTCCAAATTGGCTGCACCAATTTGCAGTCCCAGCAGCAATGTATGAGTGTACCTTTTTCCACCCATCCTCGCTCCAGAACCCTTTTTTAACAGGACATTTTAGAGGTTTACTGTTTCATTGAATACCACTAGCTATTAGTTAATAAAACTAACCTCAGGTCTTTTGCTTTCAAATGTAGTAGACTGTACATTAACCTATATGAATTCTCACTTAAAAGTTACTACATGTTTGAATAATATATGGCACCCACCTATTTGAAAATAAAAAGGCAAAATTCACAATTCAAAGTATGCATCCTAAGGAGCTCGGTCAGTAACACCATCTTCAAATGTTAAGAATAATCCATGTACAGTTGAATAGGAGCAGGAGAAATTCATGCCTAGCTGTGCATGGTGGCGCATCCCTATAGTCCCAGCTATTGGGAAGGCTAGGGTGAGAGGATTGCTTAAGCCCAGGAAGGACTTCCAGACAAGCCAGGGCAGCACAGCAAGACCTCATTTCAAAACAGAAAAGAAAATTCTTAGACTAACTAAAGAAAATAACAGAGTAGATTTGAAACATAGGAGTAGTAATGAAATTTAAGAATAGGACTATAAAAATTCTCTATAACCATAAGCATTCCTTTTATAATGGAATAAAGGGGACTATAAGCAATCTGTGTTTAGTAATACTTGAGACTTTCTAATCTTTTTACAATAATTTAAATCATACTATAATAAAAAGCTCACAATCAGCTCAAAAAGCAAGTCTAATTCTTATGTCTGGAAAAGAAGAATCATTATAAGTACATTTCTCAAAAAAAGCAGGACAGATCCTATAGAGTATTCACTACAGTTTTATGAAGGCTACTTAAAATGGCTAGTTTTACTTTTAGAAGATCTTTCCAAAATCACCGAACACTCCTGTCAGAAGCTTTTCCTGATATTGTTTGAGTTGACATTCCATTCATTGTTATATTTAATTATTGACCTTCATTTTCAGTTAACAGCTTCTATTCAAAGCTAAGGAAAGGAACTCTCAAATTCTGGGTCACTTACTGTGATAATATATAAATTCAACTCTAACAATACTAAAATATGAGCGGATGTAGCACATTTTAAGAGGAATAAAGCAAAATGCACTGAACTAATGAAATCCCCATTTATGAAAATAAAGAGGGAAATGCTAAAATGAATAACTGCTTTTTATATTCTCAAATGGAATTTAATTTGAAACCCACTCCTTCTGTCAACTTGCTTAATTTAAAATCTGTTAGGCCAATAATTTTAATCAAAATGGTAGTTTTATCCTGGAAATACTTATAGGTTTGACATCCCAGGCTTAAAAATAGCCCCAACAATTTAATACTTTTATTCTTCTGTTTGTTATTATTTCCAGTATATGAATTTTTAATGTGTTTCAATATACTTTAAAACACAGACTCTAAGAACAAACTTATAGTCTCTTAAGTCATTCTAGGATATTGTGGAAGGCAGAATTGTACTTTGGCTTCCAGGATTCTCACCTCCTACTATTCATTTTGTATATAATTCCTTTCAAGTTTGGGCAGTATCTATGAATATGCTTTTCTAATAATTTATTAGATAAGAAAGGTGAAGAATTTTTCAAATATAATTAGACCTCTAATTAATTGACTTTTTTTAGTCAATTCAAAGAAGAGTAACCTGGACAAACCTGATCGAATGAATGAGCCCTATGAAAGAGAACTTGAGCCTCTCCTGAGCTCAGAGATATGCTCCTGCCAAGCAACAAGCTACACGAGTTCTATAGCTGTGTACAAATCAATTCTGCCAGCAACCACCCAGATGAGCTTGGGAGAGAACCCCAGCCCAGATGACACTGGTGCCAAAATTCCTAACTCACAGAAACTGTAAGATAATAAATATGTTATTTTAAGTTACTGAGCTTGTAATAATTTGTTACATGACAACAGAAGACTAATACTGTTATGTAAACATTCATTGTGCTAATTAATACTATAGATAATAGGACTTGAGCCTATATATATATCAAAATGGACAGTATAACATTACAACCAGACTCTACTTAGCAAATGGATCTATGTATCGAAGGACATGAAAAGGATTAGTCATATCAGGAAAGATGATTAATATAACAGGGCTGATATGGTCAAACCAAGTCAAAAACGGAAAAATTTTTAAAAGGCAACATTTAACATCAGGGGTGAGGAAGATTTTTTTTCAACTTTAACAGAGAGAAGTAGAGACCAAAAAAAAAGAGGAAAGGAAAACAAGATTTAGCAACAATTTTAGTGTAGGAGAACAGAGAAAATAGCAAAAGTAGTCTTAAATCTCTATCTTAGAGACTGAGGGATTAGCAGTACTACCAATTGCTTAAAGTATGCAGAGTAAATAACAGTGTACTTTCTTTGTTTGCTATAAAGCAAGGATCAACAACTTATGTCCTGCAAACAAATCAAGCACACAGCCTATTTTTGTACACAGAGCCATTTTTGTTTTGTTTTAACAATGCTGGGGATCAAACCCAAGGCAAGCGCTCTGCCATTGAACTACACCCCCAGCTCTGTAAATAAAGCTTTCCTAGTACACAGCCGTGCCCATCCATTGGCATACTGCCTAGGGCTGCTTTTGTACTACAGTGGCAGGATTATAGAAATATCTGCCCATCCCTGCTATAGAGCAAAGTATTCCTATAGTCCCTTGTATGTGGCAAGTTACTTAAAAATATTCATGATTATTATCACTAAAATTTATGTTTTAAAAATCTAATAAAAACCCTGGAAAAAATATTACTAAAAGTTATTATTCTTCTCCCTGGTTTAAGTGTTTTAGAGCTCATCTCCTTTATCCTTCCTACATTTTCTAATATAATGAATTGAGATAAATAATCAATGAGGGGTGAGTGAAACAAATTCAGGTTTTAACCAGAACTTTGCCCAAGGATATAATTCATAGTCTATAAATACATATTTAAAAAGTCAAGCAATAAAATGTGTGAACACATTATTTTTGTGTATTGAGTATTGTCCCCCATTATAGATTCTCCCATGTTTCCTTTAAATAACAGATGTGCTGACCACCATTCAAAGTTTAGCTAGGCCCTCGGCTGTCCAACTACAGATACATTCCGTCCTTTCTGAATTCTTATCAATACGCTGGAACCTAAGTGCTATAAGCCTTGCTTAAAAAAGGAAATTTGCTTGTCCTCTGCTTCTCTTTCTACTTCCCAGTGGTGTAATGAAATCATTAAGGTCAGGTGACTTCAACCAAGAGGACACAGCAAAATAGGAGGTGGCAGAGTAACTAAAGGGGAGGAAGCCAGATCCTTGGCTGGCCTGGTGGAGGAAAGCTTGACTGTCTACTATAGACTGTTATGTGAGAAAGATATCAATTCCTATCTTCTTTTGGCCAAATATTTTTAGAGTATCTTTATTACAGCAGCTCATCCTATACCTTAATAAGCCCTCTAAGGTCACCAGTTACAGTCATGAGCCTCATAATGATGTTTTGGTCAGTGACAGCATATTCAACAATGGCTCTATAAGATTCTAATGAAACTGAAAAATTCCTATCACCTAGAAACCCTAGAGCCATCAAAACAATACAGAGCATTACCCACATTATTTATGGTGGTGCTTCTGCAAACCTACTGTGCTGCAAGTCAAAAGTACAGCACATGCTGCACTTTCTTAGTGCATAATCCTTGATTATGTGCTAACAAAGTAATAAACAACAGTTATTGGTTTATGTATTTACTATACTACACTTTTAAATCATTATTTTAGAGTGTAGTTCTCCTTTTAAGTAAATAAGTTTACTCCAGCAACATCCTCATAACTTCTCATTTATTGCATCTCTCAGTTGCATCATTTTTGCTCATGCTTGATTGAATCTTGTGTTATCTTGTTTATCATGGCTGTAGGAGTAGTAGGCTATAGTATATATATGTATGTGCATGTATAATATATCTTTATGTATATACACGTTATATATACATAATATATATACATTATATATGTTTTTTGTCACTATTATAAATTAATATATATTAGATATATATAATGTATATACATTATATATGTGTGTGTTTTGTCACTATTATAAATTAACATATATATATATATATATATTAGACTATACCATCTAGGTTTATACAAGCAATAGGTGACTATACATAATAAATGTGGCCAATTCAATTCCTGTTTTTCCAATGTGATTTTTCTGTTGTAGACATAAATGAACCCTAGAAAATTCTCGTGGAAAGTCCCTGGCTTTTAATGTATGATGGGTTATTTGGTCTTTTTCAAGTTCACCAAACTAAGATAAAAGATAAAATTATGTTATGAAAACCTCTGTACCCTTAATAATCCAAAGGGACAAGAGAACTCAGCATGTGCCAATTAATCTAATCATCACAGAAGGAATCAGAGAGTCAAAAGAGTGTAATGTACGTACAAGAGGGTTGAACAGAGAAGTTAGAGAATTATGTGTTTTGGAAGACATTCAATAAGAATAGTTAACAAATCAAAACTACAAGGGCCAATGTCTTCTAAAAGATCTTACTTCTTAGCTGCCAATGTGTTTATGCGTGATGATTCAATTTCTGTTTCTCTGAACATCAGTCCTAAGGTCTGTATAATTTCAATGCATGTCCTAGAAAACAAAGAGGAGAAAGAAAGAAAATTGCATTATTTCTCCTTTTTTTCAAATAAATAATATTTGATGACTCAAAATATCAAAGGTGAAAAAGAAGATACAATAAATGATGATTTTCCTCCAGTCACCCATTTTTCCCTTTGGGACAGCCAATGTTACCAGTTTCTTGTGTAATGCAATTTTTAAAATTCTTTGTGAAGTGAAACTTGCAGCACCATTAATTATTAATACCACATATATTTTGTCTAGTGCCTTCAATTTATCATTAACACTGTAGGGGGGAACTATCAAAGTATCTAATTGGTACTTACACCAGCTCATCAACCCTTTGGCTTTTGTTTTGAAGTGCATTCTTATCCTTAGACTCTGGTAAGTACTCATGAAGTTTGTTCACTAGGAAGTAGAAAAGGTCACTGGTCTGTGAAAACAAGTGGGAAAGAAGATGGTAACTAAGATATCTACTGTTAAAACTCTCTATCCTTACATGAAAGTATGGAAAATGATTTGTTTTTTTGATTCGATAAATAAGTTACATTATTTCTCATTAACATTAACATGATCCAAGTTGAAAATATAAGTTTTATTACAACCAGAGACCTCTGTACTGGTGAACAGAACAAGAACTAGGGGATGCTGTGAAGAGATGCCATTTAGTCCTGGCTGAACCACTAATATTGATGATCATCCAAAAGTTAGAGTATAATCTCAGACAAATCATTCAATTATCTTGTTTTTTTTTTTATAGTTCCTGCCTTTCTTTGGCTTTTGTCAGGATAGAATGAAATAATGGATTGGAAAGCTCTTGTTTTAAAATGTTTATTAACACAAAAACAAGTGCATAGCACAAATATGCCCTGTAAAAATTGTGCAGAATGACATATTTCTGGTAAAACAGTGGAAATACAGATCACTGTTTTTGTCTCAAGAAATACTGACTCAGAGTTGGGAAACTAATATTGTTGTATTCTTATTTAGTTTCATGAGATAAGTCAAGCATGAAAATAAGCACTGGCCCATCAAATCAGGCAAGTTGGTACTAATGAGAAAAGTTGTATAATTGCTTCTCTTTTCTATTCCTGGACTATTTTTTCTCCTGGACTACTGATTACTAGTGACAACTTAGACTCCTTTTAGAAAAGTGTTGTATGCTCTTGCTTAGGTGATATGGCATGAGAAGAGGCTGAGGATGGCAGTGCAGAAAGGGAAAGGAAAAGGAGTAGGGTGAACACCAGACCCTCTCCATGTGCTTGGGCTTACCCAGTACCTGATAAATTAGCAGTGAGGCAGCTTAACGTTAAACACTTGACTCTGGAGCACAGCTCTCCAAGTTCACTTCCTAGCTCTGCCACTTGTTGGCTGTATGATATTTGGCAAGTTATTGATGGTCCCTATGACTCAGTTACTCCATCTCTAAAATAGTGTTAATTGTTTTGCTTCATGGAGTTGGTGTTGAGACTAAATAAGATAGAATTTGTAAAGTTGAATAGTGCTTAGCACATCATAAGTGCTTAATAAATTTCAGTTAATATGATCTCCCATCTGCTCACTGGTTCATGAATTTTACTCCCTAAATATCATACAACCAACCTATAATAACATGGAAGACTCTCAGAAGTATTAAGCCAAAAGAGTACATTGTGAACAATTCCTTGTCAGAGGACTACTAAAACAGGCCATGTTAATTTATAATAGTAACAAAAAACATATCATTAGTTTCCTGAGGCCAGGAGTGTAAGGGAACTGCCTGTCAAAGGGCACACAGTAGCCTTCTGGGGTGATAGATATGTCCTAAACCTTGAATGGGTTAGTATTACATGGATACATACTCATCAAAACTCTTCAAGCTATACCCTTAAATATGGGTACATTTTATTGTACATGATTTATAATTGTACCCCAATAACTTCTTCAAAAAAGATATACAAATATCCAATAAACACATGAAAAGATGTTCAACATCAATAACCATTAAGGAAATGCAAATCAAAACTGCAATGAAGGGATGGGGTTGTGGCTCAGTGGCAGAGCGATTGCCTCGCACATGTGAGGCACTGGATTCAATCCTCAGCACCACATAAAAATAAATAAACCAAATAAAGGTATTGTGTCCATGTATAACTAAAAAATATTTTTTAAAACTGCAATGATGTATCACTTCCCATTCATTCAGATGGCTGTTATAAACACACACACACACACACACACACACACACACACACAATAACAAGGGTTGGTGAGAATGAGAAATTGGAACCCTTCTGCATTACTAGTGTAAATATGAAATAGCAAGACACTATAGAAAATAGTATAGTGGTTCCTCAAAAAACTAAATATAGAATTACCATATAACCCAGTGTAATAAGCCAGTCACAAAAAGACAAATAGTCTATGATTCTACTGATATGAGGTATTTGGATTAGTCAAATTGATAGAGACAAAAGTAGAATGGTTCCTAAGGGCTAGGGGCAGGGTGGTAGAGGATTAGGCAGTTATTGTTTAATGAGTTTAGCATTTCAGTTTTGCAAGATGACTAGAGTTCTGGAGATGATGGTGCTAATGGTTGAGCAACAGTGTGAATGTACTTAATTCCACTGAAATGTACACTCAAAAATGTTAAAGATGATAACTGTTATATGTATTTTACTAGGCTTTTTTAAAAAATAGAAAAAAAACCTCGTGGAGAAAAATAAAAGACTAGGAAAGGACATGAATAGAGAAACTCTCATTTATGCATTTATCCAGTAACTGAACTTATAACTACTGATTGCCAGCTCTACAGCATGTACTATGCTAGGTAATAAAATAACACCTTGAGCTGAGCAACACAGATAAGACATAAGCCTATATTCCTGAAACTTTCAGTTTAGTCGACCTATAAGAAAGTGTTCTCATAATTTAAGTTCTAATTGCAATACAATGAAAAAGATGACTTTAAGAAAAAAACCTATACCCCAATAAGTTGATTTTAAAATATATAAATATATATACACACATACATACATATATGTATAGATGTATACACAAAGTAGGAATATGTGTATACACATATATTCATGTATGTATATACATCTATACATATATGTATGACATGTGTGTATACATCTGTTCATATATGTATTTGTGTGTGTAAAATTTTCCATCTTCTTTTCCAGGAACGAAAAATAAAGTTGCCTCTAATCTCTAGACCTTACTGTGAGTTCCTGAAGGAGCTTTATACAATCTATGTTCAGGGAATATAAATATATACTTCAATATAAAGTAGGAAAACCGCAGCTTTCACTCATGGACATGATAGCAATCATTTAAACTTTTAAAAAAACTTCTAAAAAAAGTAGGAATGTTGACATTTATTAGCTACCTATGCTAACTTTGTGTAAGTGAATATAAGAATAGATTTTGTGGAGGAGAAAGAAAAAACATCAAACTACCAGGTCTTGATGGCATGGCCAGGGAGTGGGCCATGGGTAGTCCACTAAAGTGTGGAAAGACTCCAATCAGGATGGTACACATGTGCCTTTTATCTCCCTCTTCATTCACTCTGATCTTTCATATTTGAAGACTGAATTAAAAGATCTTCTATTTTGGTACATCTAAGAATATTACATTAAAAAATATCTGCAGCATTTCCAACTGTGAAGCAGAACATGAATGTTTTATTCCTAGACTTCTTACCACATTAATTTTCACAAGAAACTAAATTTGATATCCCATAGGAATCATTTCCAAGATGTTTCATATGCATTCATTGTCTTAGGACTGACTTAGGAAGACCACAAAGATGAGTAAGTAAGACACATGCCTGTCCTGAAGAAGTGTATAGTATTTGTAGTAAATAAGAGAGCTATGCCAATAACTATAACACACACACACACACACACACACACACACACATCTAATTCTTGAAAATAGATATCTTCTTTTCCTCATATTTTCTTTTTAATTTTTTTCCATATTCTTATTGGTGCATTACAGTTGTATATAATGGTGGGATTCATTGTTATTATTTGTACATGCACATACTATAACAATATAATTTGGTCAGTATCACCCAATATTTTCCCTTTTCCTTCCCTCCTCCCTCTCCCTGGTCTCTTTTACTCTTACTCTACAGATCTCCCTTCAATTTTTATGAGATCTTCACTACATTTCTTTTCCTTCTTCCTCTCTATCTTCCACATATTAGAGAAAACATATGACCCTTGACTTTCTGAGTTTGGCTTATTTCAGTTAACATGTTCTCAAGTTCCATCCATTTAACAAATGACATATATTCTTCTTCTTTTTATTTTTCTTTTTATTTTATTTCATTTTATTTTTGTAGAAAAGGGCTCATGGTTTCAGAGGTCTCAGTCCATAGACAGCCAGCTCCATTCCTAAGGGCACAAGGTGAGGCAGAACATCATGGTGCAAGAGTATGGTGGAAGGAAGTGGCTCACATGATTATCAGAAAAGCAGAGATAGAGATCTCCACTTGCCAAATACAAATTATACCTCAAAGCCATGCACCCAATGACCCACCTCCTCCAGCCACACCCTACCCACCTCCAGTTACAGATAATTAACCTCCTCAAGAGATTAATCCACTGATTGGGTTAAGGCTTTCACAACCAAATCATTTCCCTTCTGAACCCTCTCACATTGTCTCACGTGTGAGCTTTTGGGGGACACCTCACTTCCAAACCATAACATTCTGCCCCTGGCCCCCAAAAGCTCACACTCATCTCACAATGCAAAATACATTTTGTCCATTTTCACAAGTCCCCAATAAGTCTCAATAGTTCAAGATTGCCCAAAAGTTCAAGTCCAAAGTCTACTTTGAGACTCAAGGCAAGCTTGCATAGTGAGCGCCTGTAAAAATCAAAAGCAACTAACAAGTACCCAATATGTAAAGGCACAGAGTAAATACTTCCATTCACAGAAATAGGGGCATAGAAAGAAGGCCTAGGACCAAAGCAAGACTGAATCCAGCTGGGCAAACAAGTCCTATAGCTCCATGTTAGGCATCTGGGGCACATGGCAAAGTAATGTTCTGTGCAGGTCTCCCCTGTAGACTTTTAGTTGGCTTGCCTCAACTTAACTCCTGCAGGTTTCCTCAGCAGATGTTCCATGGTACTGGCATTTCTTAATTTGGGGGTTCTCCACTGCAGTTTTAGCTTCCTTCTCACATCTCCATGCATTGTCCTCTCGGGTTGCCCACAGGGATTCTGACCCTGCTGCACTTTGCCCAGGCCTTCATTTGAAATCTTGGTGAAATCCTCCATGATCCCTTAGCTCTAGCATCCTGCATTCCTGCAGAAGCAGCACCACATGGTTGACACTAAGGTCTGACACCAACTCAAGCAGTATTAAAGCCTCAAGGGACCCTGGCTCCTGCAGCCTCTGAGTGTCTGGGTGGCTGAGTCTGTTGAAAAAACTTCCTAGGCTCCCTTGTGCAAGAAAGGTGTCCTACTGGTCTATTCTCTAGAGAATTTTTTACTTTTATTTCCTTGAGTCTGAGATGGATATGAACTTGCCAGCTCCTGAGATGTCCTCAAGCCATCTTTCTCATTGTCTCTAGGCAAAGTCTTTAGCATTTCTTCAGTGGCAATAATGTTTTTAACAACTGCAACTTTCTTAGCCCTGGTTTTACTTCCACCTTTCAAGTCCAAGTTTTTCAAATCTTTCTGCTCTGCTTTCTGCTTCTGATTATCACAACAGATTTGCCTAAAAGCCACCAAAAATGTCCATGCCACCATCTGAATGCTATGCTGACTAGAGATTTCTTCCAACAGATTAAAGAGTCCATCACTTTTAAAATTAGTCTCACAGAAAATCTCAGGATATGGGCAAAAGACAGACAAATTCTCAGCCAGAATATAACATGAATGGCCTCTAGTCCAATTACCAATAGTGTCCTCCTTTTTTTCTAAGCCCTCTTAAGCCCTTTCTTTCTTCACTGTCCATGGTCCTATTGGCATTCTAGTGTTCTGAGCTCCCACCGGAATCAGCCATTAATTTCTGCTTATAACAATCTAAAGCATTTCCAGCTTGCACTGCTAAACATCTCAAAATTCCTCCCACCAATTCTAAAATGCTCCAGAAACTTATGAACCACATGGTCAGGTTAGTCTTAGCAAGGATCCCACTTCTCAGTACCAATTTCTGTTTCAGTCAGCTTTTTTGCAGCTCTGACTAAAAGACTTGACCAGAACAATTGTGCAGGATGAAAAGTTTGTTTAAGGGCTCACAGTTTCAGAGTTCTCAATCCATAGACAGCAGGCTCCATTCCTAAAGGCTCGAGGTGAGGCGGAAGAGTGTGGTGGAAGGAAGCTGTTCACATTATGATCAGAAAGCAGAGAAAGCTTCATTCTTCTTTATGACTGAATAAAAACTTCATTGTGTATACATAACACTTTTTCTTTATTCACTCATTGATGTATACCTAGACTGTTTCCATAGTTTGGCTATTGTGGATTGTGAGGCTATAAACATGGTATGCATGTATCATTATAGTAATGATATTAATGACTTTAATTCTTTTGGATAAACACTAAGGAGTGGTATAGCTGGATCATATGGTGGTTCCATTCCTAGTCTTTTGAGGAACTTCCATACTGATTTCTATAGTGGTTGTACTAATTTATAATCTCAACAATGTAAACATGAGGAACTGAATATCTTAACCATACTTTGAATGTCTATTGAATTATTAGAAAATACTATGAAAATGCCATAGAACTGCACTGGCCAATATAGTAGCCACTGACCACAGTGGCTCTGTAAATGAACTAAGTTAAAATCAGAATTTCACTTCCTTTGTCCTTAGCCACATTGAAGTGCATTAATAGTCACATGTGGCTAATGTCTACCATACTGAGCACCACAGATTATGAGACATCAAAGAAAGTTCCATGGACAGAGCTGCCATAGAAGATAAAAAGAGAAGATACTAAAGTTCTTCACTGAAGATGACAGGAAAGGCAGACAGATGACGTTTGAGCTGATCCTTGAAGAATGGGTAGCATTTTAACAATAGAAAATGGAAGATGTATCCTAGAAAAATTTTGGTTCATTCATTTAATATAATGTTCTTGAGTTCCATCCATTTTCCTGAAAATGACATAATTTCATTTCAGGGTATTCAAGACATACCACAGAGCTCAAGCTTTTAGAAGACAGACTTCAGAGAGAAGATGAAGTGGTTAGCAGACACTGTGTATTAGGTCTGGCTTTATTCTCTGTCTGCATATTTATTTTTGCTCCACAGACATGGCCACCTACATCAGGCTTGATTTAATATTGGAGATGTTTAAATGACTTCTTCCTATCTAATCCTCAGATGGCACTTTGTTTCTCCCATCTAAACATCCACTTTAAACCCAATCCCTGGGCTGGGGATATAGCTCATTTGTTTGTTAGAGTGCTTGTCTTGCATGCACAAGGCCCTGGATTCAAGCCCAAGCACCACTAAATAAATATATAAATAAATAAATAAGTTCAATCCTTGATTGTTTTCAATTTGTCTAAGGGGACTTCCCTGTATCCTGACTGAAATCCTTTCCCATCCTTACCCAGCTATTAGCTTTACTCTTGACAATCTTTGTGTCCTTGATCCTGGATCCAGACCTCACATTCCATGAAAGACCTGTTCCCACACCTTAAATAAGCAGATCATCCTAGTACCAAATGCTTGTACATTTAGTGTAATTTCACCCATATGCTGGAATGCTCACATATTTAATTTTTGCCCACTTCTATCTAAAGATCACTCCCACCCTTGGGAACTATACCTTCTCCATGAGCTGGATCAGATACCAGGACTTGCCCTGCCCAGATGATAGTCCCTTGCTGATAACACTGCCTTCCTAAAATAAAGGCCAGGCCTGTCCAAATTGAGAGTCTGTGATAGAGACCATTAGTGGAGAGTCTTAAATGCCAAAGTGGCTACACTTAATTTAGTAAGAAAAGTCACAAGAGGTTTTTCAACAAAGAAGCCCACATAATCAGGGTCATTGACTAAATTAATACCATGTGGGGGATGGAGTGGGGAGGTTTAGTTGGGTGGATGATAATCCCAATTTCTTTAGCCTTTCCACATGAATTCCATTTTCATTTTCATAATCAATGTGGTTGGTCTTTTTGATATTCATCCCTTTAGTTTCCACAATTCTCCTCAAATCCTAGAGTCAAAATATGGATGTTGCATTCCTTACAATATCTATCCAGTATGGACCATTTTAGAATCATGCAGTACCATGTCATTCTTGCCTGAATCTCAATGTTTTCAGACATTTGACATATTACTCTCTAAGCTGATTCTGTTCTCTAATTAGAGTGATAGACCATCCTGATTTGCATGAGACTGTCCTAGCCTTCCCATGTCCCAGGAACTTCCTCAGGCCCACGTTAACTGGAACAGCTGGTCACCCTAGTCTAGGCAAACCAACATGGTTGGTCATCCTACATTTGTATTACCTAGAATTAAGAAGTGGCCAGGACTGTCTATGATGGTGGAGGGGTTATATATTTCACAACTGCTCAATAAGATGGTAGCAGCTATGTATGAGGCCACTAGCTAGAATTAGGATGCAACATATATCCACCAACATGAGTTTGGCCTTAGGCAGGGCTTACCACTTCATCTTGGCCTCATTACCACCACATCATTAATCATCTGAGCTTCTTCAAACCTTCCCCTGAAACTGAAAATGAAGCATTTATAACTTACCAAGTGAGAACGAGGCTGCCTTGGCTTTTCAGGAGTCACATTTTTAAAAATAACTGTCCCACACTCAAAAGTAATTCTTTCTTTTTTTTTTAAGTTGTCAATGGACCTTTATTTTATTTATTTATATATGGTGCTGAGAATTGAACCCAGTGCCTCACACAGGCTAGGTAAAGTGCTCTAACCCTGAGCCACAACCCTCAAAAGTAATTTTTTTTAAATTACATTTTCGTTATAGAGGAATCTGTACAGTAAAACTTCTTGAAATATACTTTCCCATATTACAACTCATATTTAAAAGCTTTCCCTCTAAAACCTCTTTTTTGGGGGGTGTGGGGTGCAGGTACTAGAAATTGAACCCAGGGGAATTTAACTACTGAGCCACATTCCCAGCCCTTTTTATTTTATTTTTTATCTTGAGACGGTCTCATTAAGTTGCTTAAGGCCTTGCTAAGTTGCTTAGGCTGGCTTTGAAATTGTGATTTTCCTGCCTCAACCTCCTGAGCCACTGGGATTACAGGCATGGGCCACCACACACAGTTCTAATACCTTTCTTTGGCTCTACCAACCCAACCCATGTGAGCCACTTTGTGCTATGGCCACCGTCTCTCTCCAACCCCTATCTCCCCATTCCATTTAAACATTACTGACAACCTAACAAACTTTCAAGTATTAAGACATGATTGCATTAAATTTAATCAACAATTTGAAATATAGCATCAGCATACAACTTCATATTTTAATTTATGCTTGAATAAACAGGTCAAACAAGTTTTATAGATTAAAAATAAAACACCTACTTTCCAAAAAAGTCTTTTCAGAATGAAATTTTTCTGGGCTGCCACCTTAAGTTCCGTAATTATACAAAGTATCTTCCTCAAGGTATTGTCTTTAAGAAAAAGTTCAGATTTAAGTTGACTGAAGTGCTTAATTTTCTCCTCAGATCTACAAGAAAAATTTCCATGTAAAATATAAGAAAAAAGCAGTATAAGAATATCAGTGATTATTAACAGGTTTGTAAAACTTCGTTACTAATAAAATTTTAGTATGGTTTTGTACCCCCTACCCTTATTATTCATCAGTCATGAAGCTTACTACCCCAGACTAAAATGTTTCTTGCTCTAGAACTTACTTTTTACTCATACCCTTTACTAGATTGAACCTATACCATACTCTTGCTGTCCCTGGTAAATGGCCATCTCTCTTTCATAAGCTAGCCTTATTATTTACCAAAATCCACAAACCACATTTAATATTATTTCCTTAATGTTTTTTTCTTTTAATCAATTCACATTGGCTTAAAGAAGTTTATTCATAAAGAAAACTTTGTATTGCTCTGGGGGCCTAAATGTACACCTAAGGAATTTCAGAGCCTAAACATGGATGCCTGAGGAATCTGGGGGCTTAAACATGGATGTGCGCCTGAGGAACTTCCGGATGCTACGGCCTAAACATGGAGGACTGAGGAACTTCTGGATTCTAGAGCCTAATCATGGACTTCCAGATCCAGGAACCTAAACATGGATGTGCACCCAACGAACTTCCGGATCCTAGGGCTTAAATATGAACGTGCGCCTGAGGACCTCCCGGATCCGGTGGCCTAAACATGGACGCCTGAAGCACTTCTGGATCCAGGGGCTTAAACATGGACGTATGCCTGAGGAACTTCCGGATGCTACGGCCTAAACATGGATGCCTGAGGCACTTCCGGATCTGAGGGCCCAAAGATGGACGAGTACCTGAGGAACTTCCAGATCCGGGGACCTAAACATGGACGCCTGAGGAACTTCCAAATCTTAGAGTCTCAACATGGACGTGCACCACAGGAACTTCCGGATCCTAGAGCCTAAACATGGATGTGCAACTGAGGAACTTCCAGATCCAGAGGCCTAAACATGGAGGACTGAGGAACTTCCGGATCCAAGAGCCCAAAGATGGACGTGCACCTGAGGAACTTCCAGATCCGGGGGCCTAAACATGGACGCCTGAGGCATTTGGATCCCAGAGCCTAAACATGGATGCCTGAGGAACTTCCAGACCCAGGGGCTAAAATATGGACATGCACCCGAGGAACCGCTGGATCTGTGCGCCTAAATATGGAGGCCTGAGGAACTTCTGCATCCGGGGGCCTAAACATAGACACCTGAGGAACTTCCGGATGCTACAGCCTAAACATGGATGTGCGCCCGAGGAACTTTGGAATCCGGGGGCCTAAATATGGACGTGCACCCATGGAACTTCCAGATCCTGGGGCTTAAACATGGACGTGCACCTGAGGTCCGGGGGCCTAAACATGGATGCCTGAGGAACTTTCGGATCCGAGGGCCTAAACATGGATGTGTCCCTGGAACTTCTGGATCCTTGTGCCTATAAAGGGCAGGGTGTGACTCTCAGAAGAGATGTGGCCCATGAAGGGGAGCCTAGTATGGGGCTTGTTGGGGGGCAGACTGAGCTGTCACACCCTGAACTTGAATGCGACGGTGGCCTCACTTCCCGGCCTTCCCCTGGGTGTCACTTCCTCCTCTTCCAGGCAGTGCTGGGGAGAAAGTGAGACCAGGTACAGGGGCCAGGCCCTGAGGAGGGACACCGTCTTTCTCCCCACTTAGCCAGGCGCCCGGCCTGGCTGGAGACAGGGACGTCTTGTGACACTGGCTGCCTTCTGCATCCCTGTCCCAGAATCTCAGGGACCACAGGTGGGGACAGTCGTTGATTCTCTCCTGGTCTCTGACCCTCAGCCACGGGGTCTGGCAAGGGAGAGCTCTGTCTCCCAGAGGGTCAGGGGGCCCCTGTGACCTGCTGCACCTTACCCACTGTCATCCTGGGCGAGCACAGATTAGGACACCAGATGCTACTGAGAGTGACATCTCCTAGATGGGCGGCTGGGGACTTTGCCTCTGTCCCCAGGCCTCGGACACCGGATGATACCCCCCAGAGACAGAAAATAACCCCCACAAATTGGATTCTGAAATTTTCCTGCTGCCACCTTCTTTATGAAGCCAGTTTTTCAACAGAGACAATATTCCAGAGGGAAAAAAAAAAAAACATGGAGTCAATCAAACCAAGCTGACACATCTGGTCCTCCAAGAGACATCTGGATTGGAGGGAAAACAGCCATTCTCATCTGGCGAAATAGTGAAGTTCCCTGGTCCTTATTTTGTGTAAACAAAATAAATAATCTGATGTAAAAAAAAAAAAAAAAAAAAAAAGAAAGAAAGAAATCTTTGTATTGCTACTTGACAGAGAAAACCAGTATAACTTGGCATAAATATCAGGTAACTGTGAAAACAGCATGAAACTACACAGATTCTTTTTACTGTTTTTATTAGTGCATTATTATTGTTTGTTTTTTAATTGGTGCATTAAAATTATACATAAGTTCCCCCCCCTCCTCCTCCTTTCCCTTGATCCTTTTCCTCTGTTCCACTATTCTCTCCCTTCTACTTTCATGAGATCCCCCTTTTTCTATTTCTTATTTCTCTCTAGCTTCCACATATAAAAGAAAACCTTCAACCCTTGACTTTCTGAGTCTGGCTTACTTTACTTAACATGATGTTCTTCACTTCCATCCATTTACCAACAAATGACATAATTTCATTCTTTTTTATTTCTGAATTAAACTCGTGTGTGTGTGTGTGTGTGTGAGAGAGAGAGAGAGAGAGAGAGTGTGTGTATGTGTGACATTTTCTTTATTCATTCATCTGTTGACACCAAGCCTGGTTGCATAACTTGGCTATTTTTGTGAATTGTGCTGCTATAAACACTGGAATACAGGCACCACTATAGTATGCCAATTTCAGTTCTTTTTGATGAAACCAAGGAGCAGAATAGCTTGGTTAAAAATATGGTGGTTCCATTCCTAGTCTTTTCAAGGGATCTCCATACTGCTTTTCATAATAATTATACTAATTACATTCTCACCAACAATGTATAAGTGTTCCTCTCTCCCCACATTCCCAGCACTTAATATTATTATTTATGTTCTTGATGATTCCCATTTTAATTAGAGTGAGATGAACTCTCATTGTAGTTTTGATTTGTATTTCCTTGATGCTAAGGATGTTGAATTTTTTCGTATATTTATTGACCGCATTTCTTTTGAGAAATGTCTGTTTAGTTCATTTTCCCATTTATTGATTGAATTATTGTGTGTGTGTTTGTGTGTGTGTGTGTGTGTGTGTGTGTGTAATTTGTTGTTGTGGTGGTGGTGGTGCTGGGGATTGAACCCAAGGCCTCATGCACACTAGGTAAGGGTTTTACCACTGAGCTATATGCCCAGCCTGTTTTTTGAGTTCTTTATGTATTCTCAGTATTAACCCCTGTCAAAGGAGTAGCTGGCAAAGTTTTTCTCCCATTCTGTAGCCTGTCTTTTCATGCTCTTGCTTCCTTTGCTGTGCATAAGTCTTTTAATTTGATGTCATCCCACTTATGGTTTTGGAGTTTTATTTCTTGAACTTTAGGGGTCTTATTATGGAAATCAATACCTACATTTATTTTGGAGTGTTGATCCTAGGTTTTCTTTTATTATCTGCCAAGTTTCTGATCTAATTCCTACCTCTTTGATGCACTTTGAGTTGACTTTTGTGCAGGGTGATAGATACAGATATAATTTCATTCTTCTACATATGAATATCCAGTTTTCCCAGCACCATTTCCCAGCACGTTATAAAGGCTATCTTTTATCCAACCTGTTTTGGCACCTTTGTCAAGGATCAGATACATGACTGTACCTGTGTGTTTTTTTCCTCTGTCTTCTACTCTGTTCCATTGATCTTCATGTTTGTTTTTATGCCCAAACTATGTTGTTTTGTTACAAGAAAAGCTACACAAATCCAAAGTAGATGCTCCATATTCTGAGCTTCAGGTCTACTCTCACTTTGCAGAAAAGACAGATGAGCATATGTTGGAGAGTTGTCCCTACCAGTACTAAGTCAAGAGCTGCTCTCTGAGGAAAGCAGACTAGCTAGAGAAGAGAATCATTTTTCCCACTATGAAATTCAAAGTTGTTTCAGGCCATGTCACAGTGCTACCTGAAATCAGCTCCCATCACTGATCCACCTGATCCCACACATCAGAAAAAGCTGCCTTAACTGAAAAGGTCAACACTTCTGTTTAGATCTGTTTAGATCTAGTCCCTCTAACAAATGCAACCCCTCTGCCACCACAGGTTTTTTCATATTTCTGGTATCACAATAATCCCATTTTGCCTCACTGTAGTTATTTATGTATGTGATCCTGGCCCCTTGGCTGATTTTTAGCAACCTGAAAAGCAAATGTTATCAGATTAAATATTATTTCCATCTCACACTGTGCTCAGCAATCACAACTTGCATGTAACTGGGACTGAATGGCAGGCTCCAGCCTGGGCACTTTTCATAGACCAGCTCGTTCACTGAGCTAGCTCCCACTGAGTAGACTGAGCTGGAAATTACTCAGCATTTTATAGAAAGCTAGAGAAAATAGGCTAACCTCTCCATCCTTAAAAAACTAGGGATTTAGATCACCAGCATGCAAAGTAACAGCAGGAAGGACATTCCATGTTCTGTGTGGTTGATGGAATTTTACAATCTCTGACTTGAAGTAAAAACTATCTTACCCACTCCTTCAGAAATCTGTGATACCAGCCATCTGTTCCCATGCTACTACATGCCACTACTTTCCCCTTTATTTATAAAAGCATTTAAGATGTTCTATTCGATCAATGAGCATTTCCTATTGACTCCAAAATTAAGACTTTCTTTAAAAAGCACTGTATTTTTCTAGTGGGAACACTAAAGATAAAATAATCATTAAAAATTCAGCAATAATAATCCTAGAGGCAAGGGAACATGATAATTATGAGCATGAGGGCTGAGGTCAGAATCCTGGACCTGCTCCTGGTAAGCTAGATAATTATCACCGGGGCAAGTTATACCACCTCCCTGTGCCTCAGTTGCCTCTTCTGTATCATGCAGATGATAACAGTACCCACTGTGCTGATACTTCAGTTAATGCATGTCTTTCACACATGACAAGTGTTTAATAAGTGGATTCTAAATAAAGAAGGTATGTTTGAGATCCTGCTTCCCTCTAATTATTACCACATCCACTTCTAATTATTACCACATTTCATTAAGAAAAAAGAAAATCGTAAAATCCCTCTACTCTGAGAATTCCTGAAACAACAGAAATGTAGTTTTCAAAAAACCAATGAGCTTAGAAAAACACAAACTCAAATAAAATACAGCATCAGTAGAATTACTTTGAAATTAATTTTATTCTTTTTCCCATTCAAAGTCAGCAATTTGCTAAGACTCATAATAGAAATAAAAATTTTAAAAAATATATATTCTTAGCTGTAAATGGACACAATGCCTCCTTTACTTTGTTTATTTAGTTTTTTATGTGGTACTGGGGATTGAACCCTCACACATGCTAAGCAAGCACTCTACCACTGAGCCACAACCCCAGCCCAAAATAAACTTTTTAATCCTTTGCAAACCTGTGATCATAGATTGTAATGCCAAACTAATTTTTTAAAACACCAAAACATTTTTCAGAGGAAAAAGCACACTAATCTCTTCACACTAAAAATTAATTCATGTATAAACTGAGGTCTCATATATATCATAAATTCAAGTCAGATTAGGAATTCTATATCTCTACAGATAAATAATCAAAATTACAATTTTTATGGACAAAGAATATTTGCTTTTATACATATTATAAATTTCATTTGACTAATTTAAATAATAAAATGTACCAGAAGACACCATTATTCAATTTAGGAGAAAGAGGAAAATATATATTAATATTAACAGGTACTCTATATTTTCATGGGTTATAAAACATAATTCACAAGAAAATATTGCAAGAAAGATCCTTGTAATGATAAGCTCTATTTTCCTGCATTATTTTAATTTTTCCAGACATGTAATATAAACAATACCTCACACGTGTTAAAACAAAACAACAACAACAACAAAAAACTTTAGAGCTGGGAAAGACTTTTCAAAAGATTATCTCAGAAGTGTTTTGCATTTTGCATTATGTTTACAATGTCCAAGTTACAGAATCGTCCAGTCTACGACACACAGTTCCAATTAAACTAAAGATGTCATGCAGGTAGACACTATTTCTTGTGATTAATGTGTCCCTCATAGTATGTTTTAAATCACTGCATTTTAAATACTTCAGGAATTAAATCTGTAAGAAACATGATTTTCCTCAGTAAGAACAGAAACAATGGTAGAACTCTCCCTCTTGCCTCCAAGGAGAAATGCCACATATAGAAAGCTAGTGTGTAATAGGATTAGCCTGAAACTCTCTTTAAATAAAGCACTAAAATGAAAACTCAAAGTCCATTGAGATGGTGCATGCCTGTAATCCTAGCAGCTGTAATCTTTGCTTCCTGAGGCAGGAAGATTGCAAGTTCAAAGCCAGCCTTAAGAATTTACTGAAATCCTAAACAACTTAACAAGACCCTGTCTCAAAATACGAAATTTTTTTTAAAAAGGGCTGGGGATGTGGCTCAGTAGTTAAGCACCCCTGGGTTCAATCCTGTTACCAATAAATAAATAAATAAATAAAATTAAAACTCATACTTTTTTACAATAAACATATGAAAACAGAAATTTTAGGCTATCTGTATAGTTTTTTTTTTATTTTTTAAGAAATCCCAAACTTTATGTCCTTTAACTTTTAAATACATTGAAATGAATCTCAAAAAGGAACATTTTCTTACAAAATTATTATTATCACACTCAACAAAATTACAGAAAATTCTTTGGTATTATCTAATACCCAGTCAATTTTATAATTCTTCTGTTGTCTTAAAAATGTCTTTTTATATTTGGTCTGTTAAAATCAAGATCTTTATATAAGAGACTTCTTGTATTTATTCATTATGTTTCTTAAGTCTTTTAAACTTTTTTTCAGTATGGGAATTTTCAAACATACTCCAAAAAATGGAGAAAATTATATAAGAAACTCCCACAATACCCATTATCTACCTTCAACAATTTTCAACAAGTCAAACAAGTTAGCCAATTTTGTTTTATCTATTCCCTTACATACACACCTTTTAATAACTGAGTAAAATAAATGCAACATAAATTTACCAGCAAAGTCATCCTTTAGGTATAAATTCAGTGGTGATGATGTGCATTCACAGTTATGCAAAGTGTAAATCCTTATCACTTTCAATTTCCAAAACTTTTTTCCGTCCCATACAGAAAGTTTGTCCTGACTGCATTCCTAATTGGCCTCTAGCTCCTGGTAACTCTTTTTCTATTTTCTGTCTCTATGAATTTGCCTATTCTAAGTACCTCATATAACTGGACTAATACAATATTTGTCCTTTTGTTACTGATATATTTCACTTAGAATAATGTCTTCAAGTTTCAGCCACATCAAGCATGTGTCAAAATTCCTTTTTACTGATGGCACACCCACATTTTTAAGTCAGATTCAAGTTTAACTGTCCTAACAAAAATACTTCATAGATGGTGCTGTTTGCTTCATATCATATCAAATAATGAGGTGCACCAAGTCTGGGTGTCCCACTGAAAGAATGCTCAGACTAATAGATGGGTTTAGTCATGTACAACATGATCTCTGCATTTGGAAATTTCTTTTCACCCTTCTAATGATTTCATCCACTGAGGGTTTTTACATAAATCTATTATTTCATTAGAGGTTGTGAAAATGGTAATTTTCTAATTCTATTAAAGCTTCCACATTCATTACTGGAATTCTGTAAGAGGGAATTTGCCCTTATCAAATAGGGTTACTTGATTATTGCAAACTGGTTACATTTAATACAGGATAATTCTTTCTGTTTCTTTGGTGATTTTACAGTGTAAGGGATTAGTGCCTCATGTTTGATGTGTTTTATTTATTTCGTGGAGGAAGAGAGAGAGAGCCCTTTCTGTAGATACATCATTACATACTTCTGAATTTTTACATATTCATTATGTTTCAATCACTCCATTCCTTATGTTTTCTGAGGTTGTCCCTTCTTTAGCTAACTAAAAGGACATGGGTTCCTCCATCCTATTAGTCCAGGCCCTTTTCTCTTTGCTTTCTAGTATTAGCTGTTTCAGACTCATTTTTTGTTTCCCGTCCCAGACCCAGAAGCAGCCATTCCTCTGAAGAACTCTGGTTCCTTTTTGGTGAGGAATGAACATGAATCTTTTAAAATTAATTTTCTCTTAGCTCATTTACTTGATCATCAACCTCTCAAAACTTACCCATATCAAAATATCAAAGTTGTTAACATCATCAATTCACTGAGTGCTTATTATATTCAAAGTACTATTTTAAGTAAGAATACCTAGACTAATAAGATTTATTCCTTGCTTTTTAGAAGCTCACAATCTAATGAAAGAAGTGGTCATATCACAAGTAAATACAATAAGAGACCAACCTGTGATAAGAATGTAATAGAACTTTGAAGTCTGAAAAAAATCCAGACTCCTTGGCTTTGCATATAGGGTCTTTCATGATCTCGTCTCATTTATTCACTCATTCTATAAAGGCTTATTGTAGCCTACTATGGGCCAGTGACTAAGGTATAGTTCCTTCCCTTAAGGAGCATGCTATATAATATGGTAGTAAATAACCAAATAAGCAATCATAACACAGACTGGTAAAGGTTTTTGGAGAAAAGAAGAGAAACTAAGACTTGATGTATTGAAGTTATTCACAAAGGGGAAGAAGAGATGAGAGTAGGGTTCCAGAAGAGGGACTGTCATGTTAAGCCCACAGAGAAGAGAACAGAGTTTTCTGAGAACTGTGAGAAGTTCATTTGGACCAGGAACTTAGTGCAAAAAAGTGGGGTACACAACAGCTGAGGATGGAAAAATAAAGAGACATTATAAACATCTTTGTAATCTTGAGTTTAGAGTTTCACCTAAGGGCAATGGGGAGCCCTTCAAAGACTTTGTGGAATGAATTAGTTACATGAATAGTTTTGTGCTTCAGAAGATCTCTCAGTTGTAATGGAGAAAGAGCTAGAAAGGGGCAAGAGGGAAACAAAGAGGCCGGCCAGTAAAGTACTGTTGAAGCCGAGAACAGTGATAATCAAAGTAGAGGTATAAATATGATAGTCACCCACATGTTCAATATAGTTAGGAGAGTGAGGAAGACAGAAAAAAATCCCCATGCAGTTCTAGCATACATCACTCCTTACCTGTATGGCTTTTGACTTCTAAGCTCACTAGCATACAAGGGATCTTGTAAAAGAGTAGCTTTCTAGAAGAGAAAAAAAGCAGAAATTGTTAGAATTTTTGTTTACTGAAAACCAATTACCCCTACCATGAGACAATATCATGGATCTACTCCTTATTCCCTTCTATTATTTGTTTATATAATTCATTCCAGTATTTTATAACACCACAGGAAATTTTTTCATTATCTAATTTTTAAAAAAGTTTTAAATCTTACATTTTTTCAATATAAAATAAGTTATCGAATTCAAACAGAACATAAACACATAAAGATGAAAGTTCTGTTTCTCCTTACCCCTTCCATTCTATTCAAAGTAACTATAATTGGCTTGATTTGTTCTTTCAGATGTATTGAATACTATAAATGCTATAAATGTTAAATACTATGTTACAATATATGTATCTATACATATATCTATATATATATTATAACATATGCATTTATAGTATTCATGTATTATGATGTTTTAATAAAACAGATTTAATCCTAGCTCAATTATATCACATGTATTAATCTGAGACATAATTTTTAAATCACTTAATATATAATGCACACTTTTTCATGTATGTATATATAGATTTGTTACAATATTTTTAATGATTACCTAGTGTTCCATAGCATAGATATACAATATTTCTCTTAACTGTTCCCTTATTGATATGGCTAACACTTTTTTATACTTTTATTAACTATTCCCCTATTGTAAAATTAATGGGGTTGATTTTTCCTTAAAGCTTTAGTGTTAACATTTCTTATTTATTCTCAGTCCTCAAAACAAACATAGTGTTTAGCAAGTTCTCTAATCTTTTGTCTGTATTGAGGCTTTAGAGAAAGGTCAGAAGGAATTCTGAGCCAAGCCCAGGCACGGTGGCACACAACTGTAATCCCAGAGGCTTGGGAGGCCGAGGTAGGATTGGGCGTTCAAAGCTAGCCTCAGCAACTTAGTGAGGCCCTAAGTAACTTAGTGAGACCTTGTCTTTAAAAGGTTAAAAAGGGGGAGCTGGGGGTGATGTGGCTCTAAAATGCCCCTAATCCCACGACTAAGAAAAGCAAAATTCTGAAATGTTGCTGATTTGCAATTCCAAACATGCTTACCTATGTCTTAATAGCAGAACAGAGTGGTGAATAGTGGTCTGGTTTTTATTACTACTTTCATCATTATTCTGTTTAAAAAAGAAACTAAAGCCAGGCTTGGGCAAATTGCCTATAATTACAGCTACTCAGGGGAATAGAGGCAGGTGAATCTCAAGTTTGCAAGAGGATCTCAAGTTCAAGGCCAGTATGGGCAACTTAGTAAGACACTGTCTCAAAATAAAAAATAAAGAGATCTGGGGATGGGCTGGGGTTGTGGCTCAGTGGTAGAGTGCTTGCATGTATGAAGCACTGGGTTTGATTCTCAGCACTGCATATAAATAAATGAATAAAATAAAGGTTCATCAACATCTAAAAAAATATTTTTTAAAAAAAGGTCTGGGGATGTAACTCAGTGGTAAAGTGCCCCTGGGTTCAATTCCTAGTATCAAAAACAAAATCTTTCCCTTTACTCCATTCTAAATGTTGATGTTTGCCTTAAATCTAGAATTTAATATGGAGTATGGCTTCATCATTTAGCCTTCTAGCAGCTATCTTCACAACATATAAAGGGCAAAGAATCACCATATTTCATCTTTACAGAATTAGAGATGCTAATCGACCCAGAAGTAATTATTATTGGTAAAAGTTACAAATAAAATGGACTATTGATAGAGACCTAACTCTTTGGATACCCTTAAAACCAGGATGAGTACTGCTAATTTCTAATTGGATGACTTAGACTAATTCTGTGAAAGAGTATATAGTTAAAATGTCTAATCTACTTCAACATGATAGATCATTCAGGATCTTAAGGCACAAGAGATCAGTTACCTCAGAAAAGCCTGGCTGGTTTAAATGATCTTTCCCAAAATTTCCTAAAACTTATGAAAATATCACCAAGACTAACCAAAGGTGACCAGTCTGATGAGAGAATTCAACAGGGTCACAGAAAAGTCACAACTTTTATATTGTTTCTATTGAATTATTGTCTTAATGTTACTGGGATAAATATTAGCCCAATTCATAATATATATGCAAAATATTTGCTTATTCATTTTTCATCTTTCAAGGGATAGGATATTATTTTTAATGATATTATATACCAACTCATAAAAATAATACTCCTCCAACCAAATTGAGTTTGTTGGTCATTTTCAAAGAAAAAAAAAATCCCATTATCTGAGTTCAAATCTCAGCTCCACACTAGCTATGTGACCTTGCACATACTTAATTTATTTGTGCCTCAATTTCCTCACCTACTAACTTGGGAATAACATCCTACCTCATAGGGTTATTGTGTAGACTAAACAGGTTAATATCTGTTTTGAAACAAACATATAGAAGGCCATTGTTTCACACAGGGCTCCTGCTCAAGACCCAACCGATCTTGGAATCACTCCTGCCAAATGCTGTATACTCAAATTGAAACTTTAAGGTACAGACAGATCCTAAAACATAGTCTGTCTGAAAACAGGATGATTCTAGTTTACCTGTCAACGTAACAAGAAAATTCCCTCTATTTTAACCTCACAAAAAATGAATCTGAAGTAACCTGATATTAATCATTTTTCCCTGTTCTGTTTCCTCTTTCCCATCTTACAGAACCCACTGTTCTGCTATTGCCCAGAGGAAACTCTCATAACATTTTGTAAAATGGAGGCTTCCCCCAATTCATTAACTGCTAATAAAAGTCTATGGGATCCATAACCAAACTTGTAACTCTACCTTTGACACAATAAATCATCAGAACAGAGCCTACTAGATAACAATACATGTTAGTAATTCTTACTGCATTGATTATTGGAAGGGTTATACATAGCTTTTTAGGTATGAGTTGGTCAGACTTGCCCCACCTGTGCCTCTGCTACAGAGTTAAAAAGTAGTATTGAAACCAGAAGTTAGTCAATTCAGGGAAGCATGAATAGTTGTTTTAAAATATTTATTCAGATTTTTTTAAAAAGTCAATTAAGTTTTGGTTTTTCTATTAGAATACAGAGTTCTTTTAATAGGCCAGGGTTTTCCTCTATTTGTGACTTGGTTACATTTTTAATTTGGACAAAGCTGTTTAAAAATTTAGAGGAGAATTTTAGATATTTGTAGTCTTCTGAATCTTGCTATGAGGGAAAAAAACTAGAGTTATCTTGCAGTTTTTCACAATTTTTAGTCTCTTATAAAACCCTTGCTTCATAGTTTTTTCCTGAATAAAACAGCTTTTTATATTTATTAATATTGTAAAGGAAGATCAATAATAAATATTATCACTGAAGATAACTTAAAGGTATCACATTTTTTAAATAAGTTACTTGTTTTCTTAAACTAATCCAGATGTTTAAAAAAGAGCCCTGGGCTGGGATTGTGGCTCAGCGGTAGAGCGCTCACCTATGGATTCTCAGCACCACATAAAAATAAAGGCATTGTGTTGTGTCCATCTACAAAAAAAAAAAAAAAAAAAAAAAAAGATTCTCTCTCCCTCTCTCTCTCTTAAAAAAAAAAGAGCCCTAAGTGGGAGTTCTGGTTCTTCTCCTAAAGTTACTTTATAATCTTGAGTAAATCACTTAAAAGTTTTGTGCTTCATTTTCCTAGTTGGTAAAACAAGACTTAGACTAATGATTTCTAGATAAAATTATTTGATTCTATAACAATGATACCTATTTTCAAAAATGCAGAAAATAAATACAGAAACACAGTGACAGTGTTAAATTTTACCTAAGGTTTGTGTCATCCCAACTAACTGCAAAGGGCTACCTGGTGAGACTCACTGATGACTGTCTCACTTACCTACGTCTACAAAATCCCAGGTTCTCCATTTTTGTAAGTCTTTCCTCATCAATGAGCATTTCTCCCTCTGCAACAGCCTGAATAAATGATCCCCTTCATTGTCCAGTGCAGTTTTTGAGATGGTGGGAGCTGAACCCAGGGAAGCCCTACCATTGAGCTACCTTTAAGTTGCTCAGGTTGGCCTTGAATTTGCAATCTCCTGCTTCAGCCTCTCAAGTCTCTGGGATTACAGATGTGCAACACCACACCTGGCTTGTCCAGTGTATCTTTCACAATATTATTAAAGTCTAGGGTAAATTTCCAAAATAGGGAGGTAGAGCCAGGAAGGCATGTTTATGGAAAGAGGGGGGAGTGGGGAGAGAGAGAGAGAGAGAGAGAGAGAGAGAGAGAGAGAGAGAGAAAGGAAGGGGAAGGGGAGGGAAGGGAAAGGAAGGGAGGGGAAAGGATAGGAGGGAGGGAGGTTAGAGGTCAAAGTTATCTTATGAGGACACTTACTATGATGTAATTGTTCCATGAACTTTTCAAGTACAGAAATATTGATGAGGTTGTGGAAATAACATACAAATGAAGTTCCAACTCCTTCTTCTCTAGGTTTGAATTGCTTTGTAAAGGGGAACCTAGAAGGGAATTTTCTGAATGAAACTCATTTGTGTTCCTATGGCACTTGAAAAGGAATTCACTTGAAGAGTCTTTGTGATCCGGAAGTCCCTGGGGTTCTTTTGGGTTCATTGTGCAAGATGTCAAGTCACCCGTAGCTGGCGTGGATTCACAGCTCCCCCTGGGGGGCACAGGTAAGGGTCGAAAGGCACCTTGGCCATGAAGGGACAGCTTCTTGGGGTCTGAAGGTGAACACAGAGTTGAGTCCTTGGATGGTGTGCTGCTCTCTTGGTGGTACCTGTGGGTAGAATTTAGTGTTAAATATAACAGTTAGAATTAATTAACACTTAGGATATAAATATAACATTTAGAATAATTAACACTAAGGAACAAAAAGAACCTGATGGGCAATTGCAACTAAGATTGGGAAAGCAAATGTTTTCACATAAATGGAATGCTTGATAAGAGGAAGAAGAGATTTGACCTGATTTGCTATTACCCACTGACTACAAGAAATACGGCACCGCAATCATTAAGCAGACTTTCCTGTTTACGGAAACTGCGCTCCACCCAATGTCATATCAAGAAGCACTTTTTATATTGAAAGCATTGTGCCTGCCCTTTGTGGAGCCCCAATAATTTCTTTTTTTTTTTCCCCACCACCCGCGCCCCAGCCCCAATAATTTCACTGAAAGGACCTTTTCATTCTGGTTTTTAACCTTATTGCCATTTTGTTGTCCATTCTGAACATCCTATAAGAAAAAAACTACTCACATAGAGATACAAAGAATTTTTAATGCCAATTTCTTTAATTCGCATACTCCTCTGATTTTCCCAGGATCACCCCAGTAGGATCCGCCCTTCTTTCGGCATCAGTGTCAGATCCCATCCCTTCAGGTTCTTCATTCTCTCCACCACGACCTTCTCCTACCATGTAACACAAAGAAGCTGGAGAAGACAGAGTTGCATTCCAACCCTGGCTCTGCCACCCAGTGGTTCTGTGTCCTTTGTTAAAGTTTAAGGGACGCCATGGTTTTGGACTAGCCTCCTGCATGCTGAGTGTCACATACTCAAACTCAACCTGATTCAGCACGAAGAGGAAGTCCACTCTACTTTGACCCTTTTTGTTCTCTGTTTCTACTTTCTTAGCCCTTTTCTGCCTATAAAGCCAACCTCCTCCTCCGCTCAGCTCAGCAGAATACTCATTCTACCTTATAGAATGAGGTGCTGACTGACTATAGAATCACAAATAGATTTGTGATTAGATCTTTAAGCTGAAATTTTGGTAATTGTCTTTGACCCCATAATTGACTTAAGCCTCAATTTCCTGATTTTAAAATAGGAAAAATAGCACCAATCCCCTAGGGCTTCTGTGAGGATTTAATAAGAAAATACACTTAATGCATTTGTAACACTAGAGACAACAAGTGCTAGCTGTTAATATTACCCTATATTGTCTTTAGTTGATGGCTTATCTTTTTATATTAAAGTATCTACATCTCCCATAAGATTGGAACCTCATGAAAGGGGAAAGCTACTTTCTTTTTATTAGTTTTTAATTCATTCATTAGTTCTAAAATTCACTGTCTGTATAGTGCTCTTGACTGAGCTCATTTCCAATCTGAGCTCTCTTCCCCACTGACACTGCATGTGCACACACATGTCCATGCGCACATGTACACACACACACACAGTAGTCATTCCAGGTCTCCCATACATCCCCCTATAACCACTCCTTACCAAGCTTAAGAATATGTATATGGCACTATGGCCGGGCACAGTGGCACATGCTTGTGATCCCACCAGCTTGGGAGGCTAAGGCAGGAGGATCGCGTGTTCAAAAACCTCGGCAAAAGAGAGGCACTAAGCAACTCAGTGAGATCCTGTCTCTAAATAAAATACAAAATAGGTCTGTGATATAGCTCAGTGGTTGAGTGCCCCTAAGTTCAATCCCTGGTACTGCCCTCCCAAAAAAGGTATATGGCACTATGGAAATAACCTAGGTGCTCTTCAACAGTTGAATGGATTATAAAAGACATGTGATATAATACACACACACACACACACACACATATATAATACATATATATATATAAAAGATATATATATAATGGAATATTGCTCAGCCTTAAAGAATGAAATTATAGCATTTGCTGATAGATGGATGGAGCTGGAGAATATCACACTAAGTGAAATAAGCCAACCCAAAAGAAACCAAAGGGTGATTGTTTTATCTGATATGTGGATGCTAATTCACAATAATAGGGTAGGGCTAAGGAAAATTAGAGTTACTTTAGATTAGGTAAAGGGGAGTGAAGCAAGGGGAGAGGGTATGGGAGTAGAAAGGATAGTAGAATGAATCAGACATTACCCCCCTATGTACATATATAACCATATGACTGGTGGGATTCTACATTACGTACGACCAGAAGAATGAGAAATTATGCTCCATTTATATATGATGTATCAAAGTGCATTCTACTGTCATGTATAACAAATTAGAACAAATTTTTAAAGATTTTTTTAAAAAATAATATGTATGGCATTGTGTTCCCATAATAGGGTCTGGAAGGAAGAGTTGGGTGCTCATACTCTTCTTGCCCTGCAGAATGGGACATGGCATAACCAGATTTTAATTACACAATGGACAAATTACTGTACATGATATACACAAACCCTAAATGCTGTTCAATAAGTGTCTTGCATGATCCTATTTTCTTCATAGGATTCTAATATTAGATAACAGTATTATTTAAGTGTCTAAGAATATAAGATGCTCACACTATAATTTTTTTTTTCTTTGGCACTAGGGATTGAATTCAGGGGCACTTGGCCACTGAGCCACATCCCCAGCCCTATTTTGTATTTTATTTAGAGACAGGGTCTCACTGAGTTACCTAGCGCCTCGCCATTGCTGAGGCTGTATTCAAACTTGCGATTCTCCTCAGCCTCCCAAAGCTGCTAGGATGACAGGCATGTGCCATGCGCCAGGCCACATTATGATTTTTGAATAAATGAACGTTAGAGATTGAGAGCTCATGTCCCTCCTCCCACCACCAAATTAATATGCTGAAAATTAACCTTCACTGTGATAATATTTGCAGGTGGGGTCTTTGGGAAGTAATTGTGAAAGTAAATCCCTCACAAACGGGATTAATGCCTTTATAAGAGAGACTCCAGAGACCTCTTTAAGCTCCTTTCCATCATGTGATGGCACCCTTGTCTCTGATCTCTAGCTTCTGCAACTGTGAAAAATGAATTTCTGATGTTTATAAGCCACTCCATCTATGGCACTTGTTATAGCAGCACAAACTAAGATAACAACTATATTTAGCTTAGAAAAGAATGAACTATACATATTTCATATCTCTTTATAGTAATACATTTTCTTCCTTCCTTCCTCCCTCCCTTCCCCTCCCCCCCCCCTCTCCTTTCGCAGTGAGGGGATTGTACTTAGAGCCTTGAGCATTTTAGGCAAGCAGTCTACCAGAGAGCTATACTCCCGGTCCTAGTGATATTCTTCTTGGTTTTAACTTGGTAAAATTTATAAACTGTTTAATTAACTCTTGTGATCTACAAAGTAAGAATTACCTTAAAAATAAGAGGATTTGAAAAATGCTGCAGTATATCTGAATGCTCTGTATATTTATTTATTTTTTAAGAGTAGGATTTATCCAAGTAAGAAGAAATGACACAGAGCTCACATAAGGTGAGAGGAGACCTGAGAGGGGTTGCCCTAAATCTTATTTTCAACAAATATTTAAATTTTTAATGTGCCAAATATAACTAATCTGATGCATTTTATAATTTCAGGTAAAGTCACACTTAAGTCAGTTTTAAAAATTGAATGCTATCACTTACTGATCTATATTTTGAGATGTTTCAGCTTTATTTCTGATTAATTTAGTCTCGCTTAAATTTGGCTATTATTCCTAATCATTTTGAAGTTTCCCTATACTGAATACATGAGAATGTTTGGTAATCACTTAAATTATAAAAAGGAGATTACTATTTAAAATAATCTTAGTTAAATCCCATTTGTGAATTCAATAAACCTGTAACACAAAATAAAACAATTCCTTCTAGAATAAAATCTTAAAATTCAGGCAGCAACCATTTTTAAATTAATAACAACATATATATGGCAGTTACGAAGTCGTCTGAGTCAATTTCTCTTAGGTGATACCAGAGATACTGTAAATACTCAATGCTCTGTGCACAGCATTGAGCTCCAAAGTGGTGTTTAAAATAACTGCTGTGAACATGATCCCAAGTAAGCAAACACTATCTAACTGCTTGGAGAAATACTTGGCAATGATTCCTCCAAAAAGCCTGATCCCCTCACTAAATGATTATTGATCCCTCATACAGTGTACACAGCACACTGACTACCCTGATATCATGGAAATGTGATATAAAGAAAAGAAAGAAAATCCCCATTCTTGTCCAGGGTAGTTGCAATTACTAGGAATAATTCGAAAAAAGAAAAAGAACTATGGTTATCAAAAAAGAAAGGGCGATGAAGTATCAATCTTTTTTCTTGTTCATGTTATTATTCCCACTGTTATTTATTTCATTGATTTCTGCCCTATGTTATTTTTTCATGCTTTTTAAAGTTTGCTCAGCTAACACAGAATTTGTTTACAGTAAAGCCTTGGGAAAGAGGAAAGTAGCTGAGTTAGAAAAACTTCTGGCCTTCAGAACAGCACTTTGCCATCTGTTAGTGGAGGAAACAGCTGATACTTGTGCTACTTACGAAGTCTGATATCTTAGGGTCAGCCTGACTGGCTGTGCTCTAATGTGCTCTGGCAGAAAGCCAGACAGCAGGAACCAAGGCCACCTGACTTGGTGTGGGGGGAGGAGATCAGATGTGCTAATCAATGTTCACTCAAGGGTCCTCTGTGGTGTGTGGTGTACAGCACACACTAAGTACAGGGATCAGCTTGCCATGTATTTCCACTAGTCACCGTTGAACACTATGTAATGCCTACTGCACTGACTTAGGTACAAGAGACATAATAAGAAAAAAAGAGGGGTTTTTTTCATTTTTGTTTTTGGAATGTTCAAGTTACTCTGCCTCTGGAGCTAAGACCTAAATACAGGAGATAGGATGCTTTGTTTGTCTGGGAAAGACAAAATACTCATATCCAAAGTAAACACTGAAAGAATCATCTATAAGAAAGTTATAGCTGGGCACCGTGTAGCACACCCAAAATCCCAGCAGCTCGGGAGGCTGTGGCAGGAGGATCAAAAGTTCAAAGCCCGCCTCAGCAAACCAAGACACTAAGCAACTCAGTG